TATTGTTATAAAATTGTGCCATTTAGTTAATATTTATTTAAGTTTATTTTAATTATAACAATTTAGTATAGATACATTGGGTTGTGTCGAATTTTATATACCTTATTGTCAGATATTACGAAAGGGATGGATAGCACATCTTTAAATCTATCTATAAAGGTTAAGAATATTTACTTCATAGGACCGCAATAATAAATATGTAATTGATGTAGAATAGTATTATCATATAAAGTTATATGGGACCTTTACTGAATAGGTTAATTATGGACTGATTTCTTCAGAATATAATAAGTAAGAGTGTTATATTCGACTATGCCGAATCTTATATACCCAACATTCAACCGTATGCCGTAAATGGAATGCTCCCCTAAAAAAATTAGGTTGATATTTCAAATAGGGCTTATGCCAATTATGGGCACATCACTTTCGGATTAACAAAATATTAATTTTTTAAAAACAAAATATGTTTGTCCAACTTACAATATATGGGCGGCCAATCGGGGTCAATTATAAAATTTGGTAGAGAGATTTTGTCTTCTATATACTTCTATACTCGTATTTGTTAGAGTAATGTACTTTAAAGTCATTTTCTAAAGGGGGCCTAGGGTCAATTATGGACCATATTGAGGAGTAGGGTTATTTATGGATCTATCGTCATAAAAATTCATAGAGAGAATTTTGCTCATATGAAACATATTTATGTTGAATATTATCGCTATACTCGCTGTCATTGTTAAAACAGTTATGACTGTTAAAGCTGTTTTCGGGGTGCCACTTATATGGGGGCTATGCGAAAACATGGACCGATATTGGTCGATATTTCAAAACAAAATAAACCTTACCTATAAGAAATATTTAAATTTCAACTCTGTAGCTCTTTCCGTTCGGACTCGTGCTTTGAGACAGACGGACGGACAGACATGGCTAGATCGTCTTAGAATTTAATAAGGACCCAGAATATATATACTAATGTGGGTCTATGATCAATATTTCGATATGTTACAAACGGTGATGGGTATAAAAAAAAGTGATGAATGTCATAGAAAAATATTTTTGATGAATTTTTATCTCAATCGTCATACTTTACACTATAATTTCTAAATACAAAAATAATTTACAGAAAAAAAAATTATTAAGTTCCATATTATTTCTGGATCTACGACTAATATTTCGATTAGTAGTTACAAACGGTACGATAAATCAATATTATTAGAAACCGGAAGTAAAAATGAGGTTTTTGTTAAAAAAATTAATTGTCTTTTATATTTAAATCAAACCCGTATTTCGTATCATTTAGTTTATTTTTGATTAACCATTGACTAGGCGAAATAATTGTTGTAATAGTTATAACATTCAATGAATAATTTAGATATAAAACAAAAATTAATTAAATATAAGAAAGATAAAGTTAAACTTTTAAGTATTTTATATGAAAAATATTTAAATAAAAACAAGTAAGAAGTTTTAGTCAGGCATGGTAGACCATATGATACCCTATGCCAGTTACGGTTTATCTTAAATGAAGCATTTATTTCAGATTTTGTCTTAATTTCGGGAGATTTTAGTGAGATTAGTGTATTTTGCATAATTATTGGCTTTAAAGCCTAATTTAGAGGGTTCGGTTGTATGGGCGCTAAGTGAAATAATGGATTGATATGGAATCAATAGGGTTCGTCCCTGGGCCAAAAGTAACGGGTTTGATTAGAAGGTTTATGTGGACAGCCAGACAGACAGACAGACGGACGGACATGGTTCAATCGACTCAGAAAACTATTCTGAGCCGATTGCTATACTTTAAGATGGCTATAGAACCATTAATTCTATGCGTTACAAACATCTGCACAAATCCAATATACTCTTTCCACTAAAGTGGTGTAGACAAAAAAAAGTTATATATTCTACACCACTATGGTCTAGGGTTCTATAGTTGAAACGAAAAGTCGACTTTTCGACTTTTTTCATTTAATTAAAAGTCGACTTTAGACTTTTCGACTTTAAGTATTTTATAAATAGTCGATTTTTCGACTTTTTCCGACTTTTTGACTATTTTCGATTATTTTTTGACTTTTTCCGAGTTTTTCCGACAATTTTAGAGTTTTTGACCCTTTTTCCATTTTTTTTAAATTTTCGACTATTTTTGACTTTTTTCTACTATTTTCGAGTTTTCGACTTCTTCCGACCTTTTTCGACTTTTTACGACTTTTCGACTTTTTTCGACATTTAGACTTTCAGACATTTCGACTTTTATTTACAAAGTTTTTTACTTTTCGACTTTTTTCACAGACGATAGTTGAGTTATCGACTTTTTTTGGAACAAAATAGTCGACTTCGACTTTTCGATTTTTTTCGACAAAAAGTCGATTGTTCGAAAGTCGATTCATAGAATCCTACTATGGTCTTACCATTCGTCAGACAATCACTTTCTTAGTCGAAGTTATTTTTGCTTTATAAAGCTATAGATTTTAGTTAAAATCGGTCGGAATTACTGCAACATTCTGTCGGAAATACTTTTGAAGTTCTTAATAAAGAAATCAAAAGTGGCCAAATTTGGATCAATATGCCGTATTATGCCGAATTATATCAAATGGTTCACATTTTCACTATACTTAACAGTATGATTTCTGGGTCCTTACAACTATGTCAAATTTCTTGATAGATAGTTTTACAACTTCAAACTTTGTTTTAACCTTCGAACGTGTATTTCTATCAAACCATTACTGGGGGATGATAAGCAGGGCCCAAATTACGGCATACGATATCGATCGAAATCTCAATAGAATCTAAATGAAGATTTCGATGGATATCGTATGCCGTAATTTGGGCCCAGGACTTAACAAATGACATGTTGAAGAAAAAATAGGCAGACTAGCATTAGGGGGCGTGGCATCTCCCATATTAATCAAATTCAATATTAGGAATAAGTTATTTATAATAAGTTCTGAACTAACTAGTAGCACTACAACTAATTACTGTGTGAGAACCGTTTCATAATTGAACAAATATAAGATTTTATAAAGTCGCACTTGACCGACTATATTTTCATATGGTATGTTTTTAATGTTTTTTTGCAACATATTTTTAATAACATTATTAACATAGCTGATAAATAACAGAAATTCTATTAAAGTTAACGTATGGTTTTCATTAATAAATTGACAATAACTCGTGATGTGCTCATATAAAATTTTTATAATTTTTGTTTTTAATTTCATAGTAAGTTTCAAAAAAATAATTTTTTATACTTTAATTAAAAAAATATATATCAAAATAGTGTTTGGCCCATTCCGATACTCATCTTAAAATAATAAAACTCCAATGTGATCCAAGTTTGAAATATTTCAGTAACTATTCCTGTTATCTGAAGGCTGTAAATCGTTATAAAACGACGGGTTTTATGGAAACGCATATTAAAACTGTTTTGCGAAATATTACCGTAAGTAAAGAAGAGATCATATATAACTAAGTAAGAGTGTTAAAATCGGCTAGGCCGAATCATATAAGTACACCCAGCATAACAAAATTAGAGTCATTATACCCTACACGACTTTAGTGGGGAAGGTATATTGGGTTCGTGCTGATCTTTGTAACGCACAAAATTATTGGTCCTATACCCACCTTAAAGTATACCAATCGGTTTAGAATAATTTTCTGAGTCGATTTAGCTATGTCCATCCGTCCATGTAAACCTTGTAATCATACTACAGGTCACAATTTTAAAGATAATTCAATGAAATTTGGTACATGATCTTCCATTGTCCCAGGGCCTATTGAAAATGGTTAAGATCGGTCCATTATTACACCTAACCCCCATACAACTGAACCCCCGAATAGGGCTTGTAAACCTTATAATCAAACTACAGGTCGCCATTTTAAAGATAATTCAATGAAATCTGAGACAAGGTACAATTCAACTTAAATGCTTTATTATGAAAACTAAATCACATTTTATTTTTGTAACAGGTGTAGGGTATTATATGATCGTCCTCGCCCGACTATAATTTCTTACTTGTTTTTATAATGGTGTCCATAAGTCACTTTTTGGGACTTCTTGCCATAATATACTTATTTATTTTTGATTAATTATGATTTTTATATTATAATGATTCTTGAAATAGCACCTTTGTGGGTTACGCAACTACTTATTTCGTAATATTTACGAAAATTTCATGTATAATACGAATACTATTTAATCAAACACTTTTCTAATTTACGAGAGTACAAAAACCTTTGAAATATAGTTTTCGTGGATTTTTTATTATGATGATTCTTGAAAGAGCACCTTTGTGGGTTACGCAACTACTTATTTCGTAATATTTACGAAAATTTCATACATAATACGAAATACTATTTAATCAAACACTTTTCTAATTTACGAGAGTACGAAAACCTTTTGTAATGCCTTTTTCTTGGATTTTTTATTATGATGATTCTTGAAAGAGCACCTTTGTAGGGTACGCAACTACTTATTTCGTAATATTTACGAAAATTTCGTTTATAAAACGAAATATTATTTAATCAAACCCTTTTCTAATATTACAAAAAACCTTTTTTTTAACATAATAATATGAATTATATTGTAATTAAATAAAACTACTACATTTTTTATAAAATTTAATAAAAAGTGTAATATAATTTACGAATTTTTTTCATAACATAAAAGAAAAAAATTCGTGTGGATAATAATTTGATTATTTTTCTAAAATTATTTTGCATTATACTAAAACATTTCCTACAATTTCGTTTATATTACGAAACAATTTCATGGTGTTCATACAATGTTCCAAATTTTTCGTATATATTACGCATGGATGATTTTTAGTATAAGGACATTAGCGTTTTAGATGACGGTATGTAGTTTTCCTCTCACTGACTAAATCTTAAACCCATATTTTGTTAAACTTATACAAAATAATGAACAAATATCAATGGCGAGTCTCAATTAAATCCATATAATATGTCACAGTTCCCAGTTGTTCTAAACTTTCGTAAAAAATCACATGAATTTTATATGAGTTCTTTGGCAACTGAACCGGTACAATACTCATATCTAGGTATAAATTTCTCGCTATTATAGGACCCTAAAATTGAAATTTAAAATTTATGAATTATTATCGAAATTCTTCATAATTCTCATTTACCGTATAGGGGCAAGAATGATTAATATTTGTAAATTTTGTAAAACTTTCATTAGTATAGCGACATAAGCTCCGGGTGCTCTTCGTGCATACCATTTGCATAAATTCTCCGTTATATTAACAAGAAAAGGTTTGAAGATATTGGCATCATTGCGGACATATAAAGCTAAATTAAACTAAAAATTTAGAAAATAATAATAGTAAAGTTCGAAAACACAAATACTCCTATACTTACTGATATATTGCGCAAGGGATTACGCGGTTGTACCTCCATCATTCCAACAGTTTTATAACGATTTATAGCCTTAAGACGACAAGTGTAGTTTTCATAAACATATTTTAAATTTCCACTACAATCGATTTTAACAGTTTTCATATACACACCATTATACACGGGCTGTAATAGGATTTATAATTATTAGAATTGAAAAGAAATTTCAAGAATTTACCATTACAAATACGCATAAAAATATTAGAAAAACTAAATTCCAAAACATATTTTAATAAGTTATTTCTGCTGCTGAAGTCAAAACAAGTGAGAATCATAATAAATTTCAAATTCATATACACAATTTTCTAATTCCAGTCCATTGATTTTTATGAGTTTTTAAAAAAATTGTGCTGCTAAATAATGTTTACATTATTAAATTAATAACATAAAATAGATTAAGTAATTGGGGGGGCAATTAAAAGTGTTTTTTTATATTCACTATATAAAACAAATAAGAAATTATAATCGGGCAAGGCCGACCATATAATACCATACACCTCTTACAAAAATTATATGGGATTTAGTTTTCATAATAAAGTATTTAAGTTGAATTGTACCTTGCCTCAGATATACTTAAGACATTTATTGTACCATAGAAGATCTTGTGCCAAATTTCATTGAATTATCTTCAAAATTGCGACCTGTAGTTGATTACAAGGTTTACATGGACAGACAGACAGACATACATGCAGACATACAGACAGACGGACGGACGGGCATAGCCAAATCGACTCAGAAAATGAATCTAAGCCGATTGCTATACTTTAAGGTGGGTATAGGACCAATATTATTGTGCGTTACAAATATCAGCACAAATTCAATAAAGTGGTGTAGGGTATAATGATTGTGGGGAGGAGCAAATAAACTCTGTCATTCCGTTTGTAACACATAAATCTCTTATATACGATCATTTATTTAGTCATGTTGAATAGCCGATATGACCTTTAGCTGGGGCTCCACACTACGCCTTTTCGCGTCAAAGCATTGCGTGCTTCTTTGCATCCTACGCATCAAGTTAGATGCAATTTAAGCGTAATTTTTTTGCTTTATTTATAAAGAACTCCGGGTTTTTTATTTATATTTTCACAAGTTACATTTGGGTCATATCGAGTACGAAAAATGTCGTACATTGCAAGTCTCAGAATCACTTTCTGAGTCGATTTAGCTATGTCTGTCTGTCTGTCCGTCCGTCCATCTGTCGTCCGTATGTCTGTCTGTCCGTCCATCTGTCCGTATGTCTGTTCGACCATGCAAATCTTGTAAACACTAATAACTCGACGAAATTCTCCATAAGTAGTATTGAAATATTAAAAAAAGGTTTGATTAAATAATATTTCATATTATACAAGAAATTTTCGTAAATATTACGAAAACAATATTTACGAGTTTTTTCGTAAAGTTACTTTGAGTGTAGATAAACTTTGGACCCCATACATGTATCCTGAATATGCTATCGTGATAAAATTGTACACAAGTATGTCGGAAATTGGGGCCATATTCGACACCAGCCCCCCATATTGGGTCTTTTTGCCAAGAACCCTTTAGCCTCGCAACTAGTGTTGTGGTAAACATAAATAATAAGGATTCCTGTGCGGTAAAAGTATTAGTATAACATCAGCTTAACAGACTAGTCGAAATCCTTTATCGGTTAAGTTTCATCGGAGTATACTGCTATGGTGTATAGTGAAATAAGGTTTTTCTGGTTACCATGGAACTAGTCTAAGGATTGGCTTAAAAACTTCGTTATCAATGCAGCTTTTGAAGTGTAAAACCTCATTCAACGTGGTTTCCAATGATATACGCTTTACATAAGCATATTGCTAATATTTGAGATCTTTTTCTAATCTTCTACATGTTCCGATGTTCTGAATAGAAAAGAATTTAGACTAATCAAACAATAAGTTTTTGGTGTTTCATATCTTGGCTTTACAGAGCCCTAGCAACTCGCCTTCTCGCTGGAGTAAATGAATCTAGAGTACTTTAGGAGAACACCTTCCTTATCGGCATTGTTCCACGGTCATGATATTCAACCAGAGGATAAGCAAGAGAAGTACCGCCGCCTATACCGTGTACTCCGTAAATAACACACAGGCGGAAGTTTCTGCCGATAACGAATACTGGAAAATATACAAGAACATTGCTCTAGTACTTATGCTATATAATCCCTGATCATCGCTACTCTGTTGCATAACTTTGAAGATGATTCAGATGCATTAAATCCATTTGCAACAACGCAGAAATAATGTCTGTTAAATCGCAATAGAACCTAAAGATGTAATCAGTTAATTCAAGTACAACCCCATCAGATAAGCTAAAAACAAGTTTTAAGTCTAGTATAATTATACCAGGACAAAGATGGGAATTTTATCGGGGCATATCAATCACCATTCATAGAGAGAAACATGTCATGCAACACATTCATTTGGGCATGAGGATAGGGTGAACTTAGCATACCCCAGACCAACATTATCTTCCCGCGATTTCGGTTTTAGGCACAACCGTCACGTGAACGATCTCTCCAATAATCAGCACAAAACAAATAACGAAACTCTGTCCTGTGGATCACCAGTTCCTGTGGCACCAGTTATGTTAGGTTCAGTAGTCAGACCACGAGTCAAACTTGAGGAACTGGTAGCACATCTATATATCATCATAGCAATAACTTCAAGGTGAGGCCGGTTCACCCACAGTTCAATATCAATTTAATTAGTTAATAAATACATCGCTTTAAAAAAGTCCAAAGGGTTCTAACCATTTCCACCTAAGTCCGAAATTCACTTTAAATTTACAACACATATTTAGATGATGGGTATATCAGATTCGTCATAGACCAATATTTTAATGTTTTTTAATTATTTTATGTTCTTTTAGGTAAATGTTGGATTATATGCTCGCAATGATGCAAACAAATATATACCATATTTAATTAATTTCACCTCAAATGTATGTAAATTTTTGGATAGAAAAGCCTCCGGACTTTATTTAAATTCTTTTATGAATGTTTTAAAAAGATATTCCAATGTCAATCATTCGTGTCCTTTTACGGTAAGAAATAAATATGTGATTTTCTTAAATGGAAATATAAATAATGTTTAATTTAAATTTTATTTTAGGGTTATTTAATTGCAAATAATCTAAGTATAGATACATATAATCTACCACTACCACCAATACCAAGAAATTCGTATAAATTTGTATTAAATGTTTCGAAGGCTATCCTTTGGATTATATTGGAAAAATATCCATTTATATAGATTTAATTAAAAGTAAATGATAACATATGATATTGTAAATTTCTATGCTAAATTTGGAAAAATAAAGTTTTGAATTAATTAAGGGATCAAATCTTACTGGAAAGTGTTTTTGTATATTTTATAATTTTTTCTTTAAAAAATTGGTCTAAATTAAGGATAGAACTTTTTAAATTCATTTCACACTTAAACAAGTTAGAAATTATATCCGTGCAAGGCAAACCATATAAGGCCCGATCATTACAAATCTATCTATCTATCTATCTATCTATCTATCTATCTATCTATCTATCTATCTATCTATCTATCTATCTATCTATCTATCTACTATCTATCTTCTATCTATCTATCTATCTATCTATCTATCTATCTATCTATCTATCTATCTATCTATCTATCTATCTATCTATCTATCTATCTATCTATCTATCTATCTATCTATCTATCTATCTATCTATCTATCTATCTATCTATTCTATCTATCTATCTATCTATCTATCTATCTATCTATCTATCTATCTATCTATCTATCTATCTATCTATCTATCTATCTATCTATCTATCTATCTATCTATCTATCTATCTATCTATCTATCTATCTATCTATCTATCTATCTATCTATCTATCTATCTATCTATCTATCTATCTATCTATCTATCTATCTATCTATCTATCTATCTATCTATCTATCTATCTATCTATCTATCTATCTATCTATCTATCTATCTATCTATCTATCTATCTATCTATCTATCTATCTATCTATCTATCTATCTATCTACTTCTATCTATCTATCTATCTATCTATCTATCTATCTATCTATCTATCTATCTATCTATCTATCTATCTATCTATCTATCTATCTATCTATCTATCTATCTATCTATCTATCTATCTATCTATCTATCTATCTATCTATCTATCTATCTATCTATCTATCTATCTATCTATCTATCTATCTATCTATCTATCTATCTATCTATCTATCTATCTATCTATCTATCTATCTATCTATCTATCTATCTATCTATCTATCTATCTATCTATCTATCTATCTATCTATCTATCTATCTATCTATCTATCTATCTATCTATCTATCTATCTATCTATCTATCTATCTATCTATCTATCTATCTATCTATCTATCTATCTATCTATCTATCTATCTATCTATCTATCTATCTATCTATCTATCTATCTATCTATCTATCTATCTATCTATCTATCTATCTATCTATCTATCTATCTATCTATCTATCTATCTATCTATCTATCTATCTATCTATCTATCTATCTATCTATCTATCTATCTATCTATCTATCTATCTATCTATCTATCTATCTATCTATCTATCTATCTATCTATTCTAGCTATCTATCTATCTATCTAGCTATCTATCTATCTATCTATCCTATCTATCTATCTATCTATCTATCTATCTATCTAATCTATCTATCTATCTATCTATCTATCTATCTATCTATCTATCTATCTATCTATCTATCTATCTATCTATCTATCTATCTACTATCTATCGATCTATCTATCTATCTATCTATCTATCTATCTATCTACTATCTATCTATCTATCTATCTATCTATCTTCTATCTATCTATCTATCTATCTATCTATCTATCTATCTATCTATCTATCTATCTATCATCTATCTATCTATCTATCTATCATATCCTATCTATCTATCTATCTATCTATCTATCTATCTTATCTATCTATCTATCTATCTATCTATCTATCTATCTATCTATCTATCTATCTATCATCTACTATCTATCTATCTATCTATCTATCTATCTATCTATCTATCTATCTATCTATCTATCTATCTTAT